CATGTCTCTATTTTATATAAATATCCCACACAAGTATTTACAATATATAAAGAGCGTTAACAAGTTACAATATATAAAAAGCGTTAACTGTTTTACGCATGCGCGTTTGACATCGAGTTAAAACAATAAACTTAAAAGTTCGTAGTTTATAATATAAAGTGCTGGCTATTAACCAATGCATCAAAAAATATACGCAAGTCCGTCGCACCACAGGGCTAGTAGGGACTTGCTTGTCTTTATCGCTGAAACTATATATTAATCTGATAATATGAATACGCTAATTTAATATTATTATTATTAGTCGAACTACGTCATTTTCTAGGCTTTTCTATTTTAAAGTAGTTTCTTGGCTTTTCTATACGCGGTTTTTTTTTTTTAATTTTATTTACTAAGAACGCGTATTACGGGTTGTTTACTGCTAGTATATATTAATAGTACTATGTATTTGTAAGGAAACTCGCAGAAGACTAAGAAAAGTCTTTTCATCGAGAACCTTTAAAATACAAAATAAACTAAAAGTTTAAAGAGTAAATCTATAAAACACACATTTACTTTTTGAAGTCATCTATTCAGTAATATTTTACTACGTATAGTTGCTAACTATATGTATTTATTATTATTTTTTTAAATTTATGTTTTTATTTATTTTTTATTTTTATTTTTATGGCTTAAATTGTTCTTTTTACATATTATTATATAAATTGTTCTTTTATATTTGATACATATCAGTAAAATTGGTTTAGATAGTTATGAGATCTTTTAGTTTTTTCTTCAGGGTAGTAAGATTATCTAGTTTAGTAAGTTCTATATTTTGAGGTATTATTTTGTTGTATAAATAGTTTAGTAAGTTCTATATTTTGAGGTATTATTTTGTTGTATAAATTTGCTGATGATTCTAACCTATTTCTTTTTCATAATAACATTATTACACTTTTTAGCAATATGAACATTGAATTAGTCAAAACTTCCGAATGGTTTAGATTAAACAAACTCTCACTAAATATTGATAAAACTAAATGGATTCTTTTTCATCCTTATGGTAAAAAGCACCAGCTGCCTAGCAACTTACCTTTTCTATATATCGATAACATAATTATTAATAGAGTTTTAGTGACAAGATTTTTAGGTGTATATATCGATGAAAATCTTACATGGAAATGCAACATTGCTAACTTGTGCAGTAAAATTTCAAAGAGTATAGACATACTATACAAAATAAGAAACGTTCTTGATAAAAATTCCTTAATTTAGTTATATTATTCGTTAATTCATTGCCATATCAACTATGCAAACATTGCTTGGGGTAGCACTTATAAAAGTAAACTTAAATCTCTTTATGTAGAGGTTTAAGTTTGAAGCATGTAGCACGCCTTATAAATTTTAAGGACCGTTTTGCTCACGCCAAGCCTCTTTTATAGGATATGAAAGCACTCAATATATATGAGTTGAATGTTTTTAATATTCTTTGTTTTATGTATAAATGCAAGACCCACCTATCACCCGTTTCTTTTCGTAACTTGTATTTACAAAAAGATAGAAATAAATATATTCTAAGAAACTTAATTCGACAACCATTTTCTCAAAGTAATTTTGGAAAATCTTTTATTTCGTTTCGCGGACCATTTCTATGGATTAGTATAGTTAAAAAACTCATTTTTTTAACTGAAAATATAATATAATTTTTGAAAACCCCTTATCTATATTAGTATATGTATATATTTAATGTACATTCTTTTTTATTTATTTATTTTTTTATCAACAAGCAATTATTTAACATGTTTTATTTTAATGAATTATTTAACATGTTTTAGTTTTTACGTTTTAGAACTCTTATATTGTAATATTGTATGTTTATTTATAATATTATACCACGAACTTTATATACTTTTATTATTAAATTTAATTTTGCAATAAAAAGAAATTGAACAAAAATAAATAAATATAAAGAATGAAAACATTGAAAAAAAAAAAAAATTAAAAAAAAAAAAACGTTCAATAGCGGTTTCTCTGTCACAAGAAAATCTTCTTTGAGTATCCGCGTTCTTTATAATTATTTTTATTCTTTATTACTTAACGATATCTTATTACCTTTTCTATACTTGTTACCTTTTCTTTTTTCTTTTTTATATTATTTGTATCTGTATCATAAATATTGTAATAAAGAAAAAAAAAAAAAAAAAAAAATAGGGGCCACGGTATACAATTGAAAATCTCGAAAATTTTTTTTTTTATGGGCAACATAAAGTTTTCGGTTCCTCGTGTTGGCGTTGGTTTGAAAAAAGTTATTAGTAAAATGAGTTGGGACAAGTCCGAGTTTATATTTGAGCATAAATAAAATATTTTGGTAGATGTTAATTTGATAGATATTTAAAGCATTCAAGTTTTTAAGTAAAGGATCGGCATGAGTGAATTTATTTTTATTATAAATCAATTTTGATGCGTGTTTTTGGTGTATATATAGAAAACTTAATTTAGATTTATTTGTACTTCCCCAAGCAATATTAGTATATGTTAGGTAACTTTGTATATAAGAAAAATAGAGGATTTTTAGATTCTCCTGGGAAAGTAAAGGTTTGACTTGGTAAAGTATACCGATACTTTTTGATATTTTTATATTTAATGTTTTTATATGGGCTTTCCAAGAAATCGTTTCGTCAATAATTATCCCAAGAAATTTAATAGTTTCAGTTCTTTCAATGTTTATGTTATCAATTTTTAATAATTGTAGAATGCTTGGTATTTTATTTTTTTGCTGGTTGGAATGAAGCAATATGTATTTTGTTTTTTCTATATTTATTGATAATTTATTTACTTTAAACCAAATGTTTCTCAAGGTCATCGTTCGCAGATTCAAAGAGATTTTCAATTGATGGTGATGAATAAAATAAATTTGTATCATCAGCAAACATTATTGTATCAAATTTTTTTAATGATTGTGGAAGATCGTTAATATAGATTAAAAATAAAAAAGGACCAAGAATGGAACCGTGGGGAACTCCGCATTTTATTTTTAGGAAATTAGAATATTTATTATCGTTTGAAATAACACATTGTTGTCTGTTGCGCAAACAACTTTTAAACCAATCTAGGCTAGTATTTTTTTATTCCTTACGTTTCCATTTTTTTTAGTAAGATATCATGATTAATTGTGTCAAATGCTTTGGAAAGGTCTATAAAAGTTTTTAATACAAATTGCTTTTTATTAAAAAAATCACTTATGCTATTAACTAAATCTAAAATTGAGTGCTGCGCTTGAAAGACGAATTGTTTTTTATTTAAGAACTTGTTTTGAATTATTCATTTTAAAATACTTATTTCAATTAATGCATAATTTTGTCTTGATAGTGTTTGTAAAGATTGTTATTAAATAGTAAATTACTTATTTAGTTCAAAAAAATTTTTTTTTTGTTGATTTCAGCGGAAAAGAAAAATTAAAAAAAGGTGCATGTGTGTGGGTGTGTGTGTGTGTGTGTGTGGGGGGAGGTGGGTTAGGGGGCAAAAGACTCCGTTCCCCATCGTCCCTCATTGCCAAGACTCGTTAAGTTTTATGAAAACCTATAATTTTGCAAAAAAGTTTAAAACGGGTTCAGCTGTCCATTTGAATAAACTTTAGGTATGAAAATACATAACCTTCTGATTTCATGATCACTTGCGTAACTTAAACTTTTAATTTTTTATTTCTTAAATATTGCATTACCCGAGAAAAACTTTTGCGGCAAGGAGTTTGAAATATAGCAAAAAGTTACCGGAAAATAAGATTTATTTTTTAAACTATGATTAAATGTATATTGTTTTTTGAGGTGATAATTATTGAATTATCTTGGAAAAAAAAAGAGGTAAGAAAAGTCTACCCTAATCGTTCCTAAAATGATTTAAAACCAATTTAAGTACTAATTCGATAAATCGCGTAGTTAAAATTATTTTGTTCTATCTCCACATTTATTTGTTTCGAGATAAAACGATTTAAAAAATAAAAACTTTAGGAGACGGCATATAAAAAGATTTTTATTACTTGTTTTCTCCGAAACTTTTTTGATCTTAACTTAGGTTTTAATATAGTAGAAAAACAATATTTTTAGGTACATGATACAATTAATAACTCATTTTTTTCAAAAAGTGGAGATAGAACAAAATAATTCTAACCCTGCGAAATGTAAGTACTCTAATTATGTTCTACAATGATTGAAATAAAAGAAAATCACTTTTTATAAAATCTCAAAAATAATTTTTAAATACGTTTTGAATTGGGGTTGACCAACTTAAGCAACTTTATTTCAAAAGATCTGCTACTTTAAAATTGATCCTAATTCAAAAACTAAATGTGTTGTATCTTTATAGTGACTTTGCGGGAATTGCTAAAAAAAGGAATACATTCCAGAACATTATGCAAGTTGTAGAAAACAAAAGAAACATGTTACCCAACCAAAGAAAAAGGCACTTAGAACCAATCAGATGATATAGTAAATTCTGACCGGATTGTCTAATTTTGATTTATGGAGTTAATTTTGTATATTGTTAACACATTTGATTTTCCTATACTGGACACACATTTAAATGTTAACATCAGCTTTTTTGCTGAAATTTGAATTTTCTTTATACTTAAAATTTAATAATAAAAAAATTTTGAATTTATCATAATTAGTGTTTATAATGGGTTAAAACATATTTTAAATAAGTCCAAAAATATGCTGACTCAGACTGATTCCTTGGAAGACCTCAGACCAAATAAGTTTTATTGAAGTAGTTGTTAACAAGGAAAATTGTCTAACTGAAAAACAAATTCTTAGTGTGTAAAAAAAAAAAAAAAAATTTCTTTAAATTTAATTGGAAATAAATATTTTTAGTTAATTTATTTTATATATCTAGTACTTTTTTTTGTTAATTCACCTCCCCAAGGCCACTAAAGACGAAAAGGCTTATTAATTGTGGTAACATCTATCTCTCTACTCCGAAGCACGAACCTTCGCAAACAAGGTCGCTGCAGGGTGAAACAAGTTGAGTATTTCATAACTATTACTTGAACAATAATTATGTAACATTAAATTACATCATTGAATTTCCGATATTGCTTCATGAAGTGCATAATTGATTAAACCTGCTGACGAAAAAGTTTTTATTTCAGATTTAGAAAATTCTGGATTTGCAAATCTTTCATTCAAAAAAGAAATTTGTTTTTCGTTAGTTATTTTAACATTTTTATTTGATTCAATATGTAGGGACTCTTCTAAGGTTTCTTCAAGTGCCATACCTGTTTCAGATGAAAGACTTTTAAACGAAGCAACGTTATAATATATATTCTTTTCATCAATTTCAAAGTTGAAATAGGAATCATTTTGAGATATTATTGCATCAAAATGCTCACGAATCTCAGTAAATGTTGGTCTCTTTAACGGATCTTCGTTCCAACACTGTAACATGATGTCATACCTAAAATTGTATATAAAATGTATAAACTCGTATTTCTAGAATGTAAGCACATGTGCAATTACAATTAAAAACCTAAAAATTATTTACAATATTTCTATTTGTGTCTATTTTAACAATATTCAAGCAAGTAGGGCAAATGAGGTAAGGCATACTAGCAATGTTACAAAAAACTTTGGCAGTGTTTGTCTGAGGCGACAGCAAGGTTTTGTCTTTCACGTTAGGTGTTTCACGTTAGATATTTTAGTTAGCTAACAGAGTAGCAATTAATCTTGGCTCAATATTGTTTAAATAGCTTATATAGTGTGAGTAATGCTGCGTTAATATTGTTTGCTACTCAGGTAATTACTCCGATTGAAACTCATTAAGTAACTTTTAAAAGTTGATCGAAATTTTTTAGAAAAACTTCATTAAAACTCATTATAATATAGCCGAACCAATAGAAGGCCATGAAATATGCCCTAACACTTTTAAAACCAGGTGTATTGCGATGAAATTTAAAACATTGGGTTCATATTTTAGCTTTGTTTTTATTGTATTTAATACTGAAAGAGATCAGTAATAAATTAATGATTGTAAAGTTTTCGTCTTAAAACTTTTAAAAGATATATAGAACAGCGGTAATATAATTCAATCTAGTTTGTTACTTTTATTCAAGTTGGAGATCCAAGGTTTTGAAGAAATCTTACTTCATTTAAAAAAATAAAGCTTCTTAAGAAATGCAAAAAAATGAAAAATTAAATTGAGGTCAAAAGATAACCAAACATTGAGGTTTCCGTGTTTTGTTTTCTTTTGACCTCACGCACTTTTAACTAGATAATTAAAATACTTTGTTTAAAAAGCTTAAAAATAATTTACAAGCGTTCTGAACAATTTTCTGGTCGATCCATTCTGTACCCAGACTTTAAAAGAGCAAGAAGTTCACGGTTATTTATTGATGGATATGGTGTTCCTCCTAGAAAGAAAATAAAAAATTGGTAATAGAAAAGTAAAAAAAAAAAAAAAAGAAAAAAAAAAAAAAAAAATTGAAAATACCAAAATTTATTTGTTTACACATACCTAACGTAACAATTTCAAATAAAACAACGCCATACGCCCATCTAAAACAATTTCAAATATTTTTATTAGCTAGCAGTTATATTAGTTAATACAAGTTTTTTAAATTTTACAAAATAACAAAAAGATCGCTATTACAAAGAAAAAAAAATCAAATATTACACATCACTGTATGATGTAAATGTTTGGTCAAATATGGCTTCAACAGACATCCACTTAACCGGTAAACGACAATTTTTACTGCCTACGTAATTTAATTCATCGTTGACTTTACGTGTTAGGCCAAAATCAGAGATTTTGATGTTTTTCTCAGCACCAACCAATATATTTCTTGCAGCAAGGTCTCTGTGTACAAGTTTTATACATGAAAGATATTCCTTAAATATATGATGTCAAAATAATGAAAGAGTAATTACATAACTAAATAAACTAAACAAATGCAAGATGTATAAACAAAAGAAACACAACTTAAACATGCCCCATTATACTGACAGAGCAAGAAATATCAAACCATTAAAGTTTTCGTGATTTTGGTTTTAGTGGTTCTTGGTGACAAGACCTTGTGGTCTTCTCTGGTTTCTGCAATTTTTATTCTTTATTTCTTTAACTTCTTTAACTATATTATCTTCATTTGTAGTTTTTCTTTTGTATATTTGCATAAAGATTTTAGTAAATAATAGGAAAAAAAAAAAAAAATCATAGGTTTTTTTTTTTTAAAACTTTTTTTCTTATTGATGACGCAATAAAAAAGATGGAGACTTTTAATCTAATGATGTGATGAATTTCAATTAAAAACATATTTATTATGTTCATTTCTTAGAACTAAATATTAAGATTAATTGAATTTGATTTTCTAATGTTGTGTCACTGGATGCAGAATATTATAAAATCTTCTTTTTTGTTCAAAGGTAAAACTTTTTCACCTTCCAAATAAAAATCCAGTCACCGCTTACTCAATGCAACTAAGGCATGGTACAAGTTTTTTTAATTACAATATATGTAAGTTTTTTCATCAAAAAGTATGACATATTTGGTATGTAAGGAAAGATTATTTTAACCACTATTATAATCTGGTAATAGTAATGCGACTATAACAAATTGTCAAGCGTATTTATATTTAGAAAAGATGTAACTTTCATTATAAAGTACCTTGGGGTACTTGGCTATAGATAAGTCTATGGATTTAATTTTTTCATAAAAGCACGTATTGATGTTTGTTTTCAATGAATGTAACGTTTATAATCAGACATTATCTGGGAAAATTATAAATTAAAAACCATTTTTTTATTAAAATTGAAGTTATTATTTTCAATACCTCACCTAAATAAGAATATTTAACTATAATTACGTTAGATTCAGATAAACTATGGTAGTGTTAATTTTTCTACAAAAGTCGTTTTTGCATAAATAATCATAACTTTTACCCCATTCAAAAAACTGTTTTCGGTAATTAGTATCATATTTTAAAATACTCGGAACTTATTCGGCCGTATTGAAATAATAAATTATTCCATTAAGAATGCGTAAACAATCAAAAAACAGAAGCAGTAAACTTTATAAACAATTGGGCATTTCCAAAATATCACGCACGGAAACTCGTGTATGTTTTTACTTTTATTTTCATAAAAATAAAACTAGCGATCTCCAATTTACTCTCATTTAATTATAATACAAACATTTTGTAAACAAAAAATAGTAAGCAAACTTTATTTATTCTTTGTTAACATTTAATGTTAACAAAGAATAAATAAAGTTTGAAATGGAATCACGCACGGAACAGAAAAACTTCTATTTTAGTTACAAGATAAACTTTAATTTCTCGGAAAATATAATTTTCACCGGTATACTTTTTTTTTTAAATAATATTTTAAATATTAGTAAACATTTCCAGAAAGTTAAAGGATTGCACTATGAATCATAGAGTCACAGCAATCGTTTAAATGCAGTTTATGAATGATCACGCACGGATGTTGCGAATTTGTCAATTTCATGTAGTTATTTTTATGAAAATAAATTGCTTGTGAGTATTTCATGTGAAATACTTCTACGATATTTTTGATGAGAAATATTATACTTCTACGACTCATATTTAATATATTTTTGATGAGAAATATCTACGACTCATATTTAATAACTTCTACGACTCATATTTATTAACTTCTACGACTAATATTTAATATATTTTTGATGAGAAATATCTACGACTCATATTTAATAACTTCTACGACTCATATTTATTAACTTCTACGACTAATATTTAATATATTTTTGATGAGAAATATCGACGACTCATATTTAATAACTTCTACGACTCATATTTATTAACTTCTACGACTAATATTTAATATATTTTTGATGAGAAATATCTACGACTCATATTTAATAACTTCTACGACTCATATTTATTAACTTCTACGACTAATATTTAATATATTTTTGATGAGAAATATCTACGACTCATATTTAATAACTTCTACGACTCATATTTAATATATTTTTGATGAGAAATATCTACGACTCATATTTAATAACTTCTACGGCTCATATTTAATATATTTTTGATGAGAAATGGCAGTCATCAATTATTTCTAGCTAGAGTATGGCGTTTTGAAAATTATTGCATATTTTTCAAAATGTAGCGATATTATTACTCAAAAAAATAAAATTGTAAAAATGTGTATATTTAATTTATTCAGATAACCTAAAATATGATAAAAATATTTTTGTTATAATTGTTCTTTAAGAAAATCAAAGTAGTATTCATATTGCATAAAGTCCCAGCTTTTAATTGCTAAAACAAAGAAAAATAAAAAATCACGCACAGAAATGGAAATGCCCAATTAACTTTCATTTTCAAACTCGTTTCGTTTTTATATAAGTAGTAAACTTTAATTGACATTTGGTTTCTTTTATTTTTATAACGATAATTTAAAAAATAACATAAGATACTTTTAACTTATTGTTATAAAAACAATTATATCTTTAAACACTTAGTCGATACAAATAGCTATTACGGTTTCAGTGATGTATTGAGATAAATACTTTTTGTTGTTAGCACAGCGCAAAGTGTATATATATATACATATATATAAATGTATATATATATACATTTATATAAATGTATATATATATATACATTTATATAAATGTATACATATATACATTTATATAAATGTATACATATATACATGTATATAAATGTATATATATATATATATATATATACATGTATATAAATGTATATATATATATATATATATATATATATATATATATATATATATATATATATATATATATATATATATATATATATATATATATATATATATATATATATATATATTACATAATTCAATTAAATGCTTTTAAAAGTAGCACATTTTTTAAAAATATATCAACACAAATGTATTGAATTGTAATTAGGTTCATAAATTATGTCGAACAAACACTATAAGATACCTTTATATTGATATATCTTTATATCGATGTATCTCCTGCAAAACTGTTAAAACAGACGCTTCGGTTGTTTATAATATTTTGCATTTACAAATTCTTTGTTTGTATAAATTAAATACCAATAAATAAAAAGTTGTTCTGTTTGCCATTAACAAAAGTGTTGGTCGGTACACAAAAATGTTGGTCGGACTTTTGAACGACTTTTGGATTAATCTTTATATTAATGTATACTGTTTGAGGTTGTTCCTATGCCAACACTATCTTCGGATATAAGAGCATTGTATAGCAAAATATAGCTGAAATTTATGAAAATATATGAAATATGATGAATTTTTTTTGAAAGCTAATAATATTTTATCCTTTGAAGTTCTGTGTAAAAAAATCTAAAACGATAAATTTTTCTTTTTTATCATTCCGATGAAAAACTAGGATGTTATTTTTTTTAAAAACATGAATGTTTCGAAGTTTATTTTAGAAAATAAAAAAATATATATTTTTTGACAGCTATCACTGTGGGTAGGATCGTAAAGGCGAGTTTCCACTCATCCGTTTTTTTTACGGGAACGGGAAAGGGACGGTAAAAATAATCACGTGGGCATGCGTAGTATAAGTTCTAATATGTCCGAAGGAAAACTACGCATGCTCACGTGATTATTTTTCCATTTCCTATCCCGTTCCCGTGAAAAAACGGATGAGTGGAAACTCACCTTAAGTGTGTATCGAAAAACGAATTTAAAAACTTGCCTTGTCTGAGCTCTAATCGCGTTCTACATAATAACACTGAGCTTAAAACTTTCTGAAAAAAATATGTTTAGTGGTGGCGAAAGACCTATAATATTTAACACCACTAACTTTACTTTAAAGGGTCCCATATTTATATACATAGAAAGTTCTTTAAAAGTAGGACAACCTCAAAAAAAGTTATAAAAAAATATATAAAAATTTTAAAAATCATAATTGTTAAACATATGAAGAATAAAACATATTTTTATTTAATTAAACATATATTAATTAAACATATGAAGAATAAAAAAATCATCAAAAATTTTTAAAAATGTTTAAAAACATTTTTAACTTTTGTTTGAATTTATAACTTTTATGAAATAAAATTCAAAATAATAATTTTTACACAAAATAATTTTTTTTATGTTAATTCACCTCTAAGCTGACACAGATGTATTTATAATACTTAGTTTCCAGTTAGGATGTTAATGCTGGATCTTCTTGACTCAATATATGGGTTTTGTTTGTGTCTCTGTGGTAGCTCTCAGAGAGGCCGATTCCATCAACAGCTGTAAAATATTAGAGTACTAACAGTGTCATGTTGCGCATGGATGGTGTTCTTGTTCGTACTTTTTGTGTGCACTGTCGAGGCCACATTTGAAGCCCTTTGTTATGGCTTAGGGTTTATTAATAGTAATAAAGCAATTGCTTGGGTTATTAAACAGTGTACTGAGTACTATGTTTTGAATCAAGTTCTTTAACAAATTTAAAAATGACTAAAGTATCAAAAACTATAAAACACAAAAAACCATCGTCACCACCAAGTTCTCTAAACCTATCATTAACGAATAATTGTGGTCTCAAAATAACTTTTCTTCAGTTAAGTCTTAATTCTTGCAAGTTCACCAGACCTACTTGCTCTTTGTGAGACTAATTTGAGTTCAGCTGCCTTATTTTGTAATCTTAGTGTTGATGGTTATCTTCTTTTAAGTAAAAAGTAAAGACCCCAATAGTCATATGCTTGGCCTCGGCATTTACATTCGTAAGAATTCACCCATTTGTCAGAATCCACCGACTTTCTTTTATGTGCTTTCGTATAGTTACCTCTTCACTCGCCTTTCTCTTTGTTCTATATCGCTCCTCTCAAGACTGCACTCTTTTTGATGTTATTTCCAATACCGGTGTTATTAGTGACTTTGATGCTCATCACACTGAATGGCTTGGTTCTAGTGTCAGTAACTCTGCAGACGTTAAGGCCCACAACTTTTGCCTTCTCTCAAACTCTAACTTAAATAGTCCACTTTCCAACTCGTTTTCCATACAACTAGAATCATTTACTTTCTCTACAGTACTTATACCTTGTTTATGATCATAGTCAGTGCTCAGTTTCTCAGTTTCAGTTTTCATCCTTAGGTGCTTCTGACCATGGTTTGATCTCTCTAAAACTATTATATCATTCTTCTTCATTAGAATCCCCTACCATCGTACTTCTTAAAACTACCTTACAGCTGACTGGGACCCATTCTGTGACAGCCCTTGGGTAGAATTCATTTCGACCTCCGGATTCAGACTGGCATGAATTCCCTCTTGGCACTTTAAAGTCATGCCTCACTCTTCTCCATGATTTACCTCACATTATGTCCTGCAATTTCCAATCGAAACCGTTACTTCCATATCTATCAGCAAAACAATTTTCCAGAAAACAGACGTCTGTTTACTATTGCTAGAAACCATTGTAAAAAGGTTTTGTCGCCAAATTATTAAGTCATGAAATCTCAAGTTTTATCTCAAAAATTCTCTCGCGACTTCTGGAGAATCTATAACAGTATTAATAATAAGGGCAAATCTGTTATTCCACCTCTCTTGTACGGTTCAGATTTTGTCACCTCACCTAAAGGCAAAGCTGAATTGTTTGCTAAGAACTTTTCATCAATATCATCTCTTGATTCCTCTAGTTGCAAGTTGATTCATGGCTTGACACTCGCATCACTCCAGCTTCTGTGTATAAAGTGATTTTCTGTTTTTTTTTTTTTTTTTTTTTTTTTTTTTTTTTTTACATCTTCACTTCCAACAAGGCTGCAAGCAACCACTATAAGAGTTGGAAGTTACTGGAAGAGAAAAGACTAAATCTGTAGAGCAAGATAACGATTGACTGATGACTTAAAAGATTGCAAATTATATGAATCAGGAAAGCAAGATGAAGGAAGCGAATTCCGAAGAACTGATGTTCGAGGAAAAAAACTAAAAGAATAAGAGTTTTTGAAGCACTTAGGAACAGTCACAGAAAAAGGATGAGACTTAATTGAATGGCGAGTAACACGAGAATGAATTTTAGTAGATGGCACAAGGGACGCTAGCTTTTTAGAGCAGTGCCCATTATAGTATTTGTAGAAAAGAGAAAGAGAAGCAACATTACGACGATGTGACAAAGGTTGGAGATTGGCTGCCAGAGCAGGTCCAACTATGTTTACAATTCGTTTTTGCACCTTGTCTAAAAGAGAAAGAGCATCATTAGAAGATCCGCCCCAGATGTGGCAACAGTATTCCATACAGGGACGGATTTGAGATTTATAGAGATAGAGAATAGAATCTGGAGTAAGAAAGTGTCGAGCTCGATAAAGAGATGTTTAGACTCTTCTACACCTATAAAGAGATGTTTAGACTCTTCTACACCTTGTGGTTCGTACAACATACCTGTTGTAGTCTAGCAGAAATGTTCTTCGGAGCTGTCATCTATACTTTCAAAACTATTTAACAAGTGCTTATTGGAGTCTTATTTTCTGGCATGCTGCAAAGCGGAATCTGTTATCCCTATTTTCAAAAATTCTGAAGAGCGATCTGACTCGTTTAACTACTGTCTCATTAGTCTTCTTCCTATCATAAGCAAGGTTTTTGAATCTTTAATTAACAAACACTTTATCTCTCATCTTGAATCTAATAACTTACTTTCTCATCATTAATATGGATTTTGATCTTCTCGTTCAACAGCCGATTTGCTAACAGTAATAACCGATAGGTTTTATCATACATAAGATAGAGGTGGAGAGGTTAAGGCTATCGCTCTTGACATTTTTAAAGCTTTTGATAAAGTTTGACATTCTGGTCTTCTCCATAAACTTTCTTCTTACGGTATATCTGATAACAACTTTAAGATTATTGAATCCTTTCTTTCCAATCATAGTATAAAAGTTGTCCTTGATGGGCACCACTCTTCTTCATATTATGTTAATACAAGGGTTCCTTAAGGTTCTGTCCTTGACCCTATACTCTTTTTAATTTACATTAACAATATTCTAGATATTCTTACATCTAAAGTGGCATTGTTTGCTGATGATTACCATTTATTCTTGTCTTGATAAGAAGCCAACACTCTCTGATTGCTTGGAGCGGGTATTTGAGCTTAATATGAATCTCACTTCTGCTACAGCATGGGGCTTACAGTGGCGGGTGAACTTTAATTCAGATAAAACTCAATTTCACAATAATTTAGATCTTCCTTTATTTATGAACGGTAATGTTCTTGATGAGTCATCTATCAATCTTTCTTCTAGGATTAACTCTTACTTCTGATTTTTCTTGGAAACCATATATCAAATCAATTAAAAAATTAGCATCTGCTAAGGTTGCATTTCTTTATCGTGCTCGCCACTCTCTTACTCAGGATTCTAATCTTTATCTCTATAAATCTCAAATCCATTCCATATATGGAATACTGTTGACCTGTCTGAGATGGATCTTAGAATGATACCCTTTCTCTTTTAGATAAGGTGCAAAAGCTCTTGCAGCCAACCTCTAACCATTATCACAACGCCATTTCTACATATACTTTGGTACAACGCATATATACATATACTTTGGTACTTTGTCTTTGTTTTGCTTGAACATTGTTTTATTTTATTTTCATAAATTTTGCTGTTTTATTATACTTTTTATATTTATTTTTTTGTATCAACATCAACGTCTTGATGCTTGATTGGTCAGAGCGTCGCCCTGATAAACTGAAAGGATTGGGGTGGGGCAGCAATCTTTTCTTTCATTATTCTTTTTTGGTTTTTCTCCCAATTTAGAAAAAAAGAGTTTAAAATAGGAAATTTAACATAATATGATGCTCAAAACTGGAGTTGGTTCAATTTCAGCTATTACGTTATAATTCCTCATTTAATATAGCAGCACTCCTTTGTGGCAGGTATAAGATAGTCAATGTATGTACTGAAGCGCCTGGCAGCATGCTATTTCAGTGTGACATAAGACATGTACATGCACTTTTACATATGATAGGAAATCTAAATACGCACTTATACATATATATGTGCAAGTGTGTGTGTTGTGTGTGCGTGTGTATGTGTGTGTATATATATATATGTATATATATATATATATATATATATATATATATATATATACATATATATATATATATATATATATATATATATATATATATATATATATATAAATACATATATATACATATATATATATATATATATATATATATATATACATATATATATATATATATATATATATATATATATATATATATATATATATATATATATATATATATATATATATATATATACATACACATATATATATATATATATATATATATATATATATATATATATATATATATATATATATATATATATATATATAGGTGAAGTTTTTGTTAAACTATTTCTAACAATTTATATATATCACTTTATTTATTACTTATTTGTAAATTTTAAAATCTTTAATTTTTTATAAATTAATATCTAATGAACTCATTTCTTGTTAAAAATGAAAAAAAAAAAAAAAAAAGCTTCCTAGAATAAAACTCGCCTTCAGTTATTTAAAAACCATAATTTCTTGGCCTGTCAATATAATAGGACATGTACTCATACCATTCCCGAAGCCACTTGCCATGCAAAAGAAAGCAAATCTTCTGGAGTTATCACTCCAATTTCATCCAGGGGAATCTCATTTGGCATAACTTCTGAAGAATTGTTTTCACTAATAATTGTCTATAAAATATTTCAATACTAAATCTATAAAAAAATCAGCTTTAAATCTTAAATGTCAAAAAAGACCAAAATTTTATGAAAAAAACAACCTCTAAAGTGTTTTGATAACTCTGTGTGTAGATATAGCTTGCAGCTCCATCAACTTTGCACTCCCCATCAACTTTTGATGCAAAAAGCTAAAAAAGTTATTACGTCTGTATGTATTGTTTTTATGTGCTTACAAAAAATAAAGCAAATTATAATGTAATCAAACAATTTTGTAATCAAAAAATACAACAGATTAAATGATTTTGAGTTTAGTTTTACAATCATTGTTTGTTTTTAAGAAGGCACATGGTTTGGAAAAAACATCCGGAAAAAATCCGGAACTTGTTTTCCCTTATTTTGTTTTTAATTTCACTTTTAGTTAAGTTGTTTCTAATTTTTTTGTTACTTTTCATAACTTTTTTTTTAGTGATGAGTGAAAAAGCTTAAAAAATAAATATATTACAAAAATATATACCTCAACTTGCATGTATTAAAAATATTTTAGATATTCAGAAAAACTAAAAGTTGAAAAAAATATCCGGAATTCCGGAAATATCCGGAAAAAGATAATCCCTGTTAATAATATAAATAAATATAAAAAATATAATAATATAAAAATATAATTAACTATAAATATATAAGTAAACTTAAGAAACTCTAAAAGTTATAAGAAAACATTTAAATACAATGTTAAAATATAACATAAAGAAACTCTAAAATACAAAATTAATTTCTAACTCTAAAATACAAAATTAAGAAACTCTCAAAGTTTTTAACCAGATATTCCAAAATAATCTAGAAGTTTATAACCACACTTTTTTTAATCTCTAATAAGATTAACTACCAACATTTAAACTGAATGAATGAATGAAAGTTTGAATGTAAAACTAATAAACTTGATAATAAGCTTGTCAGGAAACTGAAAATCAGTACAAACTAAAACTTATTAAATTTAGACAGTAAAATTATAACAAAATCAAAACCAAAATGGTGGCAAACCCAACATCAATACTGAAATTATGAAAAATCCAATATCAATATTAAAAGTTTGAATAAATTGCAGTTTATTTAATAAAATATTAAATAAACTGCAATCAAATAAAATTTATTGAAAATCTATTACTACTAAAACTAAATAGATTTTAAATTAAAATTTTTTTATTTTATTTGCATAACAAGAATATCTTCAGACAAAAAAATGAAAAAAATCAAATACACCACTGAAAAACAAATAAATTATTGAAAAACAAATGTCAAAAAAAAAAAAAAAAAAAAAAAAAAAATCTGAAAATTTGTTAACTAGGTCTATGAAAATTCCTTCTAGCCACTGATAATAATAAGTTTTGTTTTGCAGGCGATAAGAAAATTCTGGATACTACACAAACAACAAAAAAACATGCTCTGAAAATGTTTTTTTGTTGGAAAAGAAAAAATTACACAATATTAATACAAAAAACTGCAACTGTGGTATGTTGAGGTATGTCCTACATCCTAAATACCATAACCATCATATGTGCTTCAAGCACAACTAATTGAGAACTTTTAAAGACTAAGAAGGTTTAGAAGGAAGGCTTCAACAGCTAAGCCTTGAATTAAAAATTAAAAATTAAAAAAAAAAAAAAAATTACACAATATTAATACAAAAAACTGCAACTGTGGTATGTTGTGGTATGTCCTACATCCTAAATACCATAACCATCATATGTGCTTCAAGCACAACTAATTGAGAACTTTTAAAGACTAAGAAGGTTTAGAAGGAAGGCTTCAACAGCTAAGCCTTGATTTATCGCATTGAACTAAAACTAAAAGAAATTGATTTTAAGTTTTATGATTGAAGTTTCAAAACAAAAAAAGATCTTTTGCAGACAATGGAGTTTTTACATAAAAGAAATAACTGATTTAAAAAAAAAAAAAAACTTTATTTAAAAAAAAAAGATTGTTTTTTTATTTATTTGTTATAAAAGACTTTAAAGTTATTTTACGCAATAACCTATTTTAATATTTCCCAATAGCCTTTTTTTATTTTTCCCAATAACCTATTGGATGATTTTCTAATAGCTCTTAAATTACAGCATTTTAAAAAAAATTTTCTAATTTAATTATTGCCAACCAAAAATTATTCAAACAACAACAGTACTAAAAATTACTCAAACAACAACATTACTAAAAATCATTATTTTTCTTAAAAAAACATTTTTTGAAAATACTTACTTTTGTACGTCTTTTTCTCAAAAAACTGAGTAAATCTCCATTCTCCATGTACTCAACAATTAAACACAAAGGTTTATTTATTGTTGAACAACCAATCATATTCAAAATATTTTTATGATATCCAATCCCCTTCATTAGATTTATTTCTTCACAAAAATCATTATATTCTGATGGATCAGCAGAATCTGTATCAATAAAACAATGCTATGTAATAATCATATATTATATATGACAAGCATAAAAATAATGCCAAACAATTTAAATGTTTTTGTTTGTTGAAACTGTTTTACATTTGTTTTTGATTAGCTGCCTGTTCTAAGTGATCAAAAGGTGACTTTTTGTCAACAGCAGAGCACATAGATGTGTTGACAGCAAAAAAAGCCATTTTAAATTTAATATCGTCAGGAGTATTATTTAGATATAATATAGTCAGGAAGATCATAATATAGATGAGAAACAATACAGAACCAAGGTTGGAACCTTGTGGCACCCAAGAAGTTACTGAAACTGAAGAATTTTGGTAATTAAAGATTCAAAGACCTGAATAAATTTGGGAAAATATTGGGCAATCAGAGAGAGTAATCTAGAGAGTTAAAATTAAAAGTAGTAAATTTTTGGCAGATTTTTCAAAGTAAGACAAAACTCATTAAAGTTATTCTGGAGAAAGCTTTTGTAGGATAGGAAAAGTTTGGACCACAATTATAAGTTTAAAGGAAAAATAACTATTATTATTATTAATTAACTAATCAATTGTTTCATCCAATGTCAACATTAGATGAAACAATTGGAGAGTTATTGGTTTTAGATTAAAATTAAATTGGAAGAAAAACTCTTTACACAGTTCTCTGCTTTATCCTTGGAGTGGTAAAAAAACAAACAAACTAGAAACATGTATAAAAAATAGAATTTTAGACTTATTTTAATGTTTTTGTTTTTGACATGATTTTTGTTAAACACTTTGTTAAGTCTCTAGAACCTAACTTATGAAAATACAAAAAAACTGTTTTTAAAAACAAGATTAAGTGAGCTGAAAATATGGGAGATGATGAAACTACAAAAAAACTGTTTTTAAAAACAAGATTAAGTGAGCTGAAAATATGGGAGATGATGAAAATACAAAAAAACTGTTTTTAAAAACAAGATTAAATGAGCTGAAAATATGGGAGATGATGAAAATACAAGAAAACTGTTTTTAAAAACAAGATTAAGTGAGCTGAAAATATGGGAGATGATGAAAATACAAGAAAACTGTTTTTAGAAACTAGATTAAGTGAGCTGAAAATATGGGAGATGATAATAAGGCAGTCAAAAACCTTTTTGGTAATAAAAAAGATGATTATTTAAAAGAATTCAAAGAATAACCACAATATAGTCCAATATTTATAAAACAAATACAATATTGGCTGATGAGTAAAATATAAGTACTTATACAATTTTATCAAAAAAACCATCAAAAATAAAGAATACAAAGGAAGGCAATAGAAATAAAAGGTACAAAAAAGAAGCACAAAAAGAATGGTCAGAGGACTCCAAAAATCACAGACTTGGCCAAGAAAAAATTAAGTATACAGCTAGGTCTAGCAAGCATCGGAGTTTTTGAACATGAAAAGATAATAGTCACACTAAGATCAAAAAACTTCAAATTAGCTTTACAACAATTGTTTATAACAAAAATAGTTTTTTTACAAACCTGTTTTTTCAGTTATGGTGGTTAAAACTATGGTTGAAAATATGTGTCTCCTTTAACCATCCTATTGGACTATGCAAGGGGTTCCATCAATCATTAGAAGAAAGATATGATTGGTTGCACTTACCCTGATCTGGTTTTTATACTGGATATGGACACAAATAAATTGGTAGTAACTATTTAGAGCCCTGTAATTTGATATGTTTTTTAAATTTTTTACACTATAAAATTTCATTGTTATAGTCTAATAATAAATTCTAATTTTTTAAAGATAAAAATGGTTCGAAAATATTTATAACAAATTTGTTATAAATTTTAATGAAATTTTTAAGACTCAAAAACAAGACTCAGATAAGCACACGTTTTATAGTTTTGAAAGTATAGATCCACACTGCTCCCAGATAGAGAGTTTAGGTTGAAGGTGAAGGTATCTGGAATTTTTTTTTGCAGAAGCATCAGAAAGACATACTCAAATAACCATAGCCAAAAATTAAAATTGAACCTGCTCCTAAATTGAAATTTCATGTTTTTTTGTTTATTTTTATTAATAACTAATTATGTACCAAAAGTTTGTCTTTTGCACTGCAGATAGCCTAATAAATTTCAAAATATAACTAGAATACATTTGTTTTTTAAAATTAAATATGTTATATAAATTTACATATATGTATACACATATATTTATTATTCAAAATGTGTGTGAAAAAGTGTTTCATGTATTTTAGTAGGAAAAAATTAAGTTTGAAAAAAAAGTAAATGAATAAGAAAAGAAATCATCAGGAGGGCAAAGGTATAGTCTGTTTTGGATATTGCAACAAGAACAAACAATGTATACCCCTACAAAATCCAACTCAAATTCCTTTAAAAAACCTAGAAAAGATGCATATAGACAAAGGCTTTGATGTTAAAATGAACTCCTTTCCTACCAGAATGCGTCCAAAGTGCAAAACTGCGATATATAAGAAAGAGGTATTTATCTTTTCTCCTATAATATACTATAATTACTTTACTATTTTATACTATAATTTTTTTTAAAACTATTAAAAATACTTGTACCTACTGTTTCGATTTAAATTCCTAAAAAATATATTTTTCTTGCAATTTTAAATTTAATATCAAAATTTGATTAAAAAATTCAACAAAAATAATACATTAATACAGGGGTGGCAATAGAAAATAATAAGGGGGGGGGGGATAAAAATATTTTTCAAATTTTATTAAACTAATTTTAATCGCTTCAATATTTTCTACAAAGCCCTACAGAATAAAATGTTATACAAGAGATACAAGAGAGGATACAAGAGAATCGAAAAAACTAAAACAAACTAATTAGAAGTTTAAACGAATTGAAAACATTAAAAAAATTAAAAACATTTTAAAACTCTTTAAAAGCATAAAAAAAAATAAAACCAAATAAACATTAAAAAAGCCCTAAAAATATGCAATAACAAAAACAAGTTATGTTGTAACTTTCTCTCTCTATATCATTATACAACCATACAAGAGAGGTGGAATAACAGATTTGCTTTTATTATAAACACTGTTAAAGATTCTCCAGAAGTCTTGGGAGCCTAATATTTGAGATGAAATACAAGATTTTGTGACCTAAGAAGTAGGCTTTGGCATTAGACAAAACCTTTTTACAACGGTTAAAGCAATAGTAAACAAATATCTGTTTTCAGAATTGTTTTGGTGATAGATATAGTAGTATTGGTTACAATCGGAAATTGCAGCAGCACAATGAGGAAATTCATGGAGAAGAGTGAGGTTTGAATTGGAACCAACAAGAGGGAATAAAAGATTCCATTCAAGAAATTACATAAAAAACACGTTTGTCAGAAGACAAAAGATCTAACCAAGGACCATCATGAAAAAAATCATGAAAAGAGTCCCAGTCAGTCATAAGGTAGTTTTAAAATAGAGGGATTTTGGTGATGAAGAAAAATGAGATTATAGTTTTAGAGAGATCATACCATGATCAGAAGCAACTAAGGATGAATGTAGAGAAACTGAGTATTGACTAGAATCAGACACAAGATATAAGTCGAGTAGAGAAGGTAAATGATTCAGAGTGTCTGTAAAGCTGACCATTTGTGTTTGAGATTGAGAAAGGCAAAAGTTAAGGGCCTTAACACCTGCAGAGTCACTGACACTAGAACCAAACCATTCAGTGTGATGAGCATTAAAGTCACCAACAACAACAATATTAGTTAAAGGATTAAGAGAAAAGGATTGGTCAATTCAATCAGAAATAACATTGAAAAGAGTGCAGTCATGAGATGAAGGGAGCGATATAGTACAAAGAGAAAGGCAATGGAGTGAAGTGGTGATAAACGAATGCGCATGGAAGAATAGTATGTGGATTCAAATTTAATTTTTAGTTTCTCGAAAAATGGGTGAATTCTTACAAATGTAAATGTCCAGGCCAAGCATGTGACTATTGGAGTCTTTACAAACTAAAGGAAAATACCCATTGACACAAAGATAACAAAACAAGACAGTTGAACTCAAATTAGTCACACAAAGAGCAAGTTGGTCTAGTGAACTTTGCAAAAGATAAGACTCAACAGAAGAAAAGTTAATTCGAAGACCACAAATATTAGTGAATGATAGATTTAGTGAGCTTGGTGATAACGATAGTTTTTTGTGATTTGTACTTTAGTTATTTTTGTATTTATTAAAGAACTTGACTCAAAGCTGAGATAGTACTCAGCACACTATTTACTAGTCTAAGCAATTGCCTCATTACTATTAATTAACTCTAAACTGTAACAAAGGGCTCCAAATGTGGCCTCAAGATCGCACAACAACATTATGAACAGGGAACCTATCATCTTTCTGAAAAAGCTATATGGAATAAAGAAAAGAAAAAAAGTTCTACATTTATAAGTGTGTGTGTATATATATATATATATATATATATATATATATATATATATATATATATATATATATATATATATATATATATATATACCCTTGGAATTTGGAAAAATATGATCGGCAACCTCTAAGAAATTTGGTCGGCAATAATGCCAACCTCATTTTCTTAGAGGTTGGCAAAAAAAATTTGATACAAAGATTTTACCATAAAACATAGAAACGAGGTTGCCAATTTTGCCAACCTAAAACACTTTTAGGTCGGCAGTTAGTTCCTAATTCCGAGGGTTGTATGTAAATATATATATATATATATATATATATATATATATATATATATATATATATATATATATATATATATATACATACATATATATATATATATATATATATATATATATATATATACATACATATATATATATATATATATATATATATATATATATATATATATATATATATATATATATATATATATATATATATATATATATATATATATATATATATATATATACATACATATATTTATATTCCAATAATCTTTTTAATACCTTTTAAAAGTTTTACTGCAACATTAATAGCATAATCCTCTTTAATATCAGGTGAAACAATACTATACTTATGGTATGTCTTTAATCTTTTAGTAAGAATCTTATGATTTATTTTTGCAATAAAGACTGTGCCAAATGCACCTTCACCAACTTTTTTATCTAAAACAAAGTTTTCAGGAAAAATCTCCCAATCATCAACTGATAGTTTTTCACAATCCATGTCTGACCTAAAAAAAATTATTGTTGCATATCAAACCTTCAATGTATAATAAAAACCAATGCATCTCCAAAAATACTGTACTCAACCTGTCTCTTCACACAATTAATGACTTAAGATAGGTGATTTGTGATTGCAAAGCTTTTTAAATTACAACAACAACAACAACAACAACAACAGCATCAGCAATAAGCTATTTATTATCTTTAATTGTAGTTGCAATAACTTGAAATAATTTATAGTAGTTATTATAAATCAATAGTATTAATAACAATAATAATAACAATAATAATAATAATAATAATAAATCTACATATAGGGGAGAGCGGGGTTGGTTGTCACAGTTTTTACATTTTAGGCTGCTCAGCTTTTAATTTTCATCCAATCAATGCCAAACTTTGCACAAAGCTAGTTTAACTATTTCCAGTAACTATTATAATATTTTTATGACATTGAGTGAAATATTTATTGCTGTAAAATCATTTTTCAAAGACCACTTCTGTGTGACAACTAGCCCCGCTCACGGGGTAGGTTGTCACATGGTGCGGGGTTGATTGTCACATTTGGATTTTGACAAGTTTAGATAAGAATTTAATGTAAAACGAGTATAAATTAATTTCGTTTATGTTTTACTAAGAAAAATAAAAATAAAATACTATAAACTGAAATATATATTTTAAATATAACACAATTAACAAATTTAGTTTATCACTATAAATGTTTTTAGGTTTGGCTTTTTAAAAATTATTGGATAAAGAACACAATTCACAAATAAACTGTTGTAAGCCTGGTGTGCATTCTTCATGAGCCCATTTTCGGCAAACCTGACATTGAATCCACTGTTCTCTTGATCGGCTGTTGGAAAATGATTCAAAACAATAGATGCACAGATACTCTTCATCTTCAGATGAATTTAAGACTATAGAAGGTTTTTTCGTAGCAAGATTTGATTTTATTAATTCTTTTTTACTTCCATTAGTAATTTTTTTTTATTAGTAATTTTTTTTAATTAGTTTTCTTCTTTTTTCTTTTATAATTAGCAAGCCATGCTTTGACAGGCGTGTTAGTTAGAATCATAGTTGACCGCTTTTTCCTACCTCGGGCCTGCTTTAGGCAGAGGCCTAATACTCTCAGGTGGTATGATTGAATTGTTAAAACCTAATGTTGTGATTGGGTTCTGATTAGAGGTTTTATTTGATACAACTGGATCTTCTATTGTTATGTCTACCTGATTATCTGGTATCTGAATAGATTCTTTAAATCTTTTATTTGATGGTTCTGGTTGCATTGAATAAGATTCACAGTCTTTTTTATTTGAATCAGCCTGTGAACAAGGTGGGTCAGGGCGATCAGTTATATAGTTAGGACAGTAATCATTTTCAGTAAACACATCAGGATTTAACGGGTAAATACCTGTTGCAGAAAAACCACTTAAAATATTGTGGGGAGATACAGCCTTAGGAAATGCAATGTTTACTATTTTTGGAATATCATATATTGTAACAGTTTTTCCAGGATTCATTACTAACCATGATGTCATAGCAGTATTTATGTAGTTTTTGAGAGGACCATAAACTGCCTTATCCAAGGGCTGCAACTTATGTGTGCAATGTGGTGGGAAGGTAAGCATTACTATTCCACTATTTTTTGCCAAATCTAATCCTTCAATACTAAGATGAGTTTCGTGATTGTCAAGCAACAATAAACAAGGCTTTTCTTTAGTACATTTTGTATTGCCTACAAAATGTTTTAGATATTTTACAAAGTTTTCTTCTTTCATCTAACCACTTGGATTTGCATCTCCTGCACTTCCTGTTGGTGCACTGATTAGGAAATGATCTTTAAAGTTTTTATGAGGAAAAATAAAAAAGGGTGGAATACTCACGGCTGTTTCACTCAATATAAAAGCGAGCCTGACGTCACGAGTTTATCAAAAAAAAAAGTATTTCCGCATAAAAAGTATAAAAATTCATTAACTTTAAAATAATAGTATTTTTTTTCTATAAATGCTTTCATCTTCAAATAAAAAAAATATAAAAGATCTATCTTTCCTTGTTAAATAAACATTTACATTAAACGGAATAAAAATGAAAGCTGTAAAAATATTGTTAATAATTTGGCATCACTTTTCTGATTTTTGCGATTTTTACGCAAAACCTGTCTTAGGCCAACTAAGATTTGATAACATAGCTACATGGTCGATGGTTAAAATTTAGAACAGTTATTAATGAATGTCTGTTCTATCTAGATTTCCACAGACTTTGCAAGTTTTTATATAGAAAGTTAGTTTTTAATGCATTTATATTTTTGTTTTTATTCGTTTTGAATAAAAAACATGACATTTTTGAAAAGTCTGTGGATTTAGTAATACTTCAACCTTATATGAATAAGAAAATCAAAAAATTATTTTCTGTACCTCTAGCTATGTTATCAAATATGTTTTCAAACTTGGCATGTTTAGCGACATTTTTTTTAGTTTTTTTTGCATAAATTCTTGTTTACATTTTAAAGCGGTGACGCAAACTCTGATCGTTACGTCCCCAACGATTATCGGATGCATTTTAAGAAAACAAACAAAATAAACGAGACACATTTTATAGAATAAATAACAAAGTTTCGCGGATTAATTTCTCTTGGATATTTGACTAATTTCAGATAAGTTGATCAATCCGATTTTATCTAGTGCATCTATTTGTCAATATTATTCTATTTAAGTTGTTTGTATTATAATTTTATTACTATATCAATAAAGATTATAAAGCAAAGTTTCGTGGATTATTTCCTCGTGGATATTCGACTAATCTCAGATAAGTTGCTAAATTCTTTTATTTTTAGTGTATTTATTTGTAAATATTATTTTATTTATTTTCTTTTATTATATTATTATTATAATATCATTATCATTATTTATGTGATGTATGCAACTGAGAGGGAAATTTTGAAACTGTACATCGGTTGGGAAGATGGTTGGGAAAATGAGTATAACTTTAATTTTGTAAAGCGAGTAATTGACACTAGTAAGATCACTAACAATGTGATTTCAATTTTATTAACAGTTTTTCATCCAAAAGCGTTGTTTACTTTTTTAAGTTTTCTTTTGCCAATTGAGTTTAATATGCCTAATATTGATGTGTTAAATAAAATGTGCCGAAAAATAAAACAAAGAAAAAAAGATTCTAAAAAGTATTTTGAAGCTTCAAAAAACGAAGCATTTTTTAAAATGCAACTGTCTCCAGCTCCACAAACAAAAAAACAAAAAAAATCAGCAGATGCAGATAATTTTTATATTTTAAATAGGAATAAGGAACTAAGTAGTCAAGTTGAACAATTAATTTCTAAAGAAAAACATAATGTGGAGCAAATAGATAATTTAAAAATACAGGTATCAAAGTTGGAAACTGAAGTTATATATTTAAATTCTAAAAACAAGGCTCTCAACGCACATTGTAACTCATTAAGTTTTCAATTAGAGACTATGAGTATTAGGCTAAAACAGGAGGAGCAGTTCCAACTTTAAAAAAAAAAAAAAAATTAAAAACAGCACACCGTAAATTTGCATCTGCTCGTGCCAAAAATGTAAGATTGCTAAAAAAATTTAAATTTGAAAAAAAAAAATGCAAAAATCAGTGATATAAACAAGAACAGTTGCCAAATTTGCAAATATTTTGCTAGCAGTGATAAGGATTTAGTTGTCGTTGATTCTTATTTAGACTATGACAACATTGGCTCCTCTGAATTATTCTGTGGGTTTAAATTAAGTAATCCACAGACTATATCAGTTAAAAAGCCAATAGTTGGTAAGAAATATACAATAGTTGGTAAGAAATATACTTACATTAAGTTAGGAGATGGTAAATCTTATTCTAAGTTAGGTAGGCATGCTGCAGCTAGACGATCTAAACTTGTTTTTATATTACTTCGATTATTAGCTTGTTCAGATTTGGAAAGTGATTTGTCTATGTTGTTTTGTGATTCTGTGTCTTGTGAAAAGTCTATGTTTCATTGTGTTGCAAATAAGTTGGGTTTAGTTAGGCAGTTAAGTGTTTCTGATGCTGTAGAGCTGCAGAGCCAATTAAGAGCTGCAGAGCCAATTAAAAAGACCTTGCAAAGTTAAAGTCTAATCAAAGGTGTGACATTAAATATCATATAGATATGAAACATGTAGAATATCTTATAGATATGAAATATGTAGAATGTATAACTCAGATCAAAGGAATTAGACAAATGAAACACGAGGAGGATACATAAAAAAGTAAACATTAACTTATAGGTAATGAGAAACATCAACGAGGAACTTATAGTAACAATTATAACAAACATGAAATTATAATAACAAATTATAATAAATATGAAATTATAATAAAATTGAAATTATAATAACAGAATAAGAGTAATATATCTATATTCAAATAATAAGATAAATATCAATGAACTTAAAAATTTTTTTAGAACTTTTTTTAAATTTAAAATTTTCTTAAATTGATGTTGTTTTAAATAAAAAAAGTTAAAGCTGTTTTAAACAGTAGTTTTTAAACTCATTTACAAAATATGCAACACACATTCCATTTACAGATGACCAGATGAGCAATAGAATATCTGCCATAGTACTGAGTTTAAAGATTCTACACTAAAGTTTTCATAATTTATATTATTGAAGCATGCCAACATTCTATATTACAGATAATAGATTTAAAATTAAAATTTCTTTATGGCTGTTTCTTTGAAGTTTCTTTTTGTTTTGTTTTGCATGCTTTTTTATGTTTTTTTTTATTTTATATTATTTAATTAAAAAAAAACAAAAAACAAACACTATCAAAATGGTTTCATCTTCTGCTGAATGAGTTTTAAATGTTTGCATTACATAACGACAGTTTTCCTGCGTTTATATATATATATATATATATATATATATATATATATATATATATATATATATATATATATATATATATATATATATATATATATATATATATATAACATAAATATATGATATGTTCATTCACACATCATTGTAAAATATTATTTTCACTGTGAATTTATTTGCATAATCTTTTTTATTTTATTCTGAAAATGGAGTTGGCATCTTTTTTATAAAGTTAATTTTAAGAAGAATTTTGGCAGTTTTCATGTAACATAAGTTAGAAAATACATGATAAATTTATATTTATCCAACAGTTTCCTCAAAAAACTGAGATTTTTTATTAATATATGTGTATTAATATTGAATCTTATATTTTAACATTTAAAGTTTTCAATAAAGATGCTTAGTTTTGGCACATTTCAATTTTGAGGTGAAAACAAAGTGGTCAGCCAATAGCTAATTCAAAATTCCAGGATATTTTCAGGACTTTTCAAGGATAATTTTAGGTTTTTTTAAGGATATATTGATCTTTACTTGACCAGAAAAAAGTAAAACATATTTAAAAAATATTTAAAAATAATTAGCAGATGTTAATAATCCTGGCAGTAACATAAAACAAAAACTTTTTTGCATTACAGAAAATACATAATTATCAAATCTCAGTTTTAGTTATCATGACAAAAAAAAAAAAAAAAAAAAAAAAAAGGTTACATAATCGTATATCACTTACTCTTTCATGAAGGAATCCAATTGCTTTGATTTTTGACATTTTACTTTTTTCTTGTAAACTCTTAATGCAATAAAAACAGAGAGTATGGAGAGAAAAACTAAAAAAGTTACTAATACTGCGACAAGCACTTTATTTCCTAAAAAAATATAAAGATTTCATTAAAAATATATTTATCTGATATTTATAATATTTTAAAAAATTTTGATTTTTAATTGTATAATTATTATTAAAAATGGCATTCATTGACACAAAACATTAATATTAACTTCACTCTGAAATCTTTCTTTGCAAGGCCTCCAGTACATTCATCAAATGAGTTTTTTAGTATAAGAAGACATATATTGCATTATAAAAACATGGAATACAGGGAAAAAATATGGTTACCTTTTTACCAAACAAATAAAAAACATTTTAAATACAAGCTTTATCATTTATTATCTTTCTAGGTCGATGTAGTGAAGATAAAAATAAAATACAACTATACCATACCACTAAAGTAGTAAGTATATTATTAAATAATATGTATGTATGTATGTATGTATGTATGTATGTATGTATGTATGTATGTATGTATGTATGCATGTATGTATGTATGTATGTATGTATGTATGTATGTATGTATGTATGTATGTATGTATGTATGTATGTATGTATGTATGTATGTATGTATGTATGTATGTATGTATGTATGTATGTATGTATGTATGTATGTATGTATTTATGTATGTATGTATGTATGTATGCATGCATACAGTCCTTGGAATTAGGAAAAATGAGGTCAGCAATAAATTGCCGACCTTAAACTGTTACTGTAAACGGAGATTGGCAACAGGCCGGAAAAAAATATGACATAAAGGGGTTATCATAAAACATAGAAATAAGGTTGGCGATTTTTTACCAACCTCAAACACTTTAAGGTTGGCAACTAGGTCAGCATTGCTGATTGCTGACCCTAATTCGGAGGACTTATATATATATATATATATATATATATATATATATATATATATATATATATATATATATATATATATATATATATATATATATATATATATATATATATATATATATATATATATATATATATAATATATCATAAAATAAAAATCATAAAAAAACATAAAAAATGCATTTTTTGTTAAACATAATTTTTTATTTAATAAAACTAAAAATAACAATTTTTTTTCGAAATGCAATCATATATATATATATATATATATATATATATATATATTAGTGATGTAACGAAGCTAAAATTTTGTCGAAGCCGAAGCTTCGGCCGAAGCCACTATGCCGAAGACAAAGCTTCGGTACTATACATGCTTAAAATTTAATCAGCATTTAGATCAGCAGGGGTGTAAAACAAAAAAGTTACCAAAACTAAGGTCCTTGACTAATAATATAGAAAAATCATATAAAAATTAGGACACCAGTCAAGGTTGCTGTCCCAGGCAGGGCAAAAGCTCTCAGCGCCCCTGTTTGAAAGTTTGTCTTTATCTCGTTTCTAATAATTAGCCGCATCGAGCGCTTTTTTTAAAATTTAAGCTTTTTTGAAACATTCTCCACAAATTTTCCTACTTCTAGCTCTACTTTTTCTGTGTGCTAACCATATTAATGTTATATAGCATCTTTTCATGTGCTGTATATTTTATTTTTATTTTTAATGCACCTTTTGTTAATAAAAGTCGATAAAAATCTCTGAAAATTACTAGAGTAAATTTATCTTTTGCACTTGATCACTCTTTCTTTAAATAAACACTCTTAGCTGATCTAGTTGTATCTACAACATAAAAAATCTTACAAACACACTTTATCTTTTTATTGCTATTTATTTCAATATCTTTTTTTTACTTCTTTGTATTCATTAAACGAACAATTTCTAAACTAAAAAAAACCCAAATTAAGACCATTTTTTATTCCACTACAACTGTTGTGAAGCTGCTGCTAAAAAAAAGTACAAATGATAGATTTCTCTCTGACTTCTTTTTTACACACTTTTAAGTTTTTTTTTTTTTTTTTTGATTATTTTTAACTTTACACAACATAACATTTTCTTTAGCTTCTTTTAATCTTTTACACTCTGAAATCTTACTATTCATTCTTCTTCTGTCTCTGTAATGGATAAATCTGCATCAGTATCTGAAATCAAATATTAACTATCTGTGATAAAAGCTTCCATAGTAATTTAACAACTCTGTAGAGTGAGCTTTAAATAAAATAATAAATAGAATAATTTATAAATTTTTTTTTTATAATTATATTACTATTTACTTTATATTTATAAATAAACAGGGACTGAGCAGGCTGATTTATTCGATTTAAATCGTTTATTTAATTTAAATAAACTTTGATGATAAATACAAGAGCTCAAAGTAATCAAAGCTTCAACCTTTAATTTATTTTAAATAAAATTTATAAGTCTTCATAATATCATAAGAAGAAATCAGAATATAGGTTTACATGTTTAATATATAAATTCAATTTAGAAGTATTCATAATGTTAATAAAAGAGCAAGGATAACTATTATCATTGTTTTTCTTTTTCATTTAATTTATCTAGTTTTTGTTGACATTTTTTTTCTTTTTTAATTCTCCTCATTTATATTTTATTTGCTTTTCTTCCTTATTTGTTGTTGAGAACTTGATGTTTTTTATGTGTCACTCCATTGACTAGTTTGTATCTATATAAGTGACACCTAACCAATTTCTGTAAATTTACGATGAAAATTTGTAAATTTTTATTAATATGGTTAAATAAAATTAAAAAAAATTAAACATACACACAATTTAAAATAGTAGCAACGTATCTTTAATCTTCTTTAAAGTGAGATTACTACGGTTTATAGGTCAAATGTTGAAACTAAACTTTGTTCTATTTGCGGTAATCCCACACAATAATTAATATGAATTCGTAACATAATACAAATTAAAGTTTTTTTTCCATTTTATTTTTAAAAATTTTTAATGTATTAAATTATAAGGTTTTTATTCTGCATAGAAATGCTGATTCAGTTTATCTAAAGTCACACTTGGAAGCCTTCAAAGTGTATGTGGACCTTCCCTAATTTTATTATTATTTTCAAAACATTTTTACTTATTATTATTATCCCCTCCATAACAAGACACTTGGGAGTAAATAATATTAAGTATAGACTCCAACTTTAACTCTGTAGTCCCAAATTTATAACTTAATTAGACACTGGCAATTAGCCAGTGTCTAATTAAGTTATAATTTTAATTTTATGGTAAAAACTTTTAGTTTAATTAAAATAAATATAAAAAATAACGGTTAACACTATAATTAATATAAAGGTATAATATATCTTGAAATAAAGAATGGTGTTAAAAACAAAGATTTAAGCATATTCTCTATACAAATATTGCTGCTTTTCTCTGTTTCATAAGAGAAAACATTTCATTTAATGCATTTAACTGATCTTGACCTGTGGAATTTCTCAAAAGTGTCTTTATTCATTAAAGTACTAAAACACTGTTCAGCATCAGCTGTAGACACAGGTGTGACCAAAATAATCTCTACCAACTTCAGAAAATTTTTAAACCAGGTTATTTTCATGCATAATTTGGGGTAGGACATTAATGGTGCCGATGTCACTAAAAACAGCGTTTTCATACAAAACATTTTATTCGAACATCAATTTAACTTTACTTGTTTATCAAAATCACTTTTGCTCCTAAATCTGTCACTATTTTCATAAATAACTTCATCACGACTATCTTTTATTAGTAGTTTGATTGATATGTTTCGTTTTATTTGGTTTTCAGGTATTTTCTTGCAATTAAGAATCAATCCAGGAACATAATCAGTGATGTTATTTCATATAAATTTATGGATAACTCAAATTTTTCAAAAGCTTGATTGTATTATTTCAAAAGCTTCCTTGATTGTAATAGTGTTGATGTTACAATATATTGTAAAGTACAACAACATGTTTTATAATTGAATAAAAAAAGGTTAAAAAAAAGTTGAACTCTAAATCTTCCAAACATTTTTTGAAGTCAACAGATTGCCACATGTTTGTATCATCACATCCTTCATCGTTTATAATTTTATTAAAACATTCCACAGGCTTTGTTTACTTTCAGGCAAGTAACTATTTTTAAATGAAAATTCCATCGTACTTCGCAAACTCTTGGTATCTGTTTAAAAAAATTTTGCAACGTAAACCATTTTGTTTTGGTGAGGATGTAAAGAATACGCCAAATCCACTTAAAATTCATTATAAGCCTGAGCAATTAATATTCCTTTGAGACTAAAACAATTTAAATCTTCATTTAATACAACTGTAAGACCCATAGCACGTCTATCAAAATAATAATGACAATAAAAAACTCAAATAATAACTGTGAACGACAAGATACACCAGTTGTTTCATTTACTTGCCAGGAAACAAACCTTGCTTTATCAATCTCATTTTTAATTTCTTCTATGTATACTTTGTACATACCGTCTAAAATGTCATTTTAGTTTGTTTTCAGAGTATTTTTTTCTAAAAAATACTCTGAAAACAAACCAAAATGACATTTTAGATGATATGTCTAATAAGATGATTACTAAACATATAAGATGAATTCTAAACACATCTAATTTAAGATGGTTGCATACACATCTAATGTAGCTGTGATGATCGCATACACATCTAATGTAGCAGCGATGATTGCATACACATCTAATGTAGCAGTGATGATTGCATACACATCTAATGTAGCTGTGCATGAAACCATATCTAAGAATACCGTTTGATTACTTAAGCCAATAGTTTTGTCATGTCCTCTTAAGGATGTGTCACAAAATCATATACAATCTATGATCCTCAATAGTGTATATTTTGTCATCTAATTCATTGCTTTTTTGTGCTAAAACTGTATCTAGCATCAATTGTTGATAAAATGTTTGCTTTTCCAAGCATTTGAAACTGCAACAAATTACTTATATGTTTTTTTTGCTAGATTCATGTTTTAGTATTTATTCACTCAGAAAGATGTTTCCTATCTTTACAGCCATATTCTGTCCACAAGCTTTCTCCAAAAATCAAAACACAATAAAAACAAAACAACAAAATTTTTTCATCACTTACACTGAACCATGATTTTTTTTCAAATCATGCTATACAA